TTTATCCTTCATTGTGGGCACTCAAATGGGAAAGTCAGCGAAAACTGAGACACGTGTCCATGCCTGGATCCCGTCGACTAAGCCTACGTTATTAGCCCGGTGACGCTGTGTTCAGACGCTGCTCAACTGCGTCCAATTCCACGAGCCTCGTACACAGCAGATCCACGTAATTGTTAAATCTCTTGTTGCAATTAACAACAAAGTAGCTGTGCGAGCAGTGGGATACGGTTTCCATCTAATTACTTCTGTGAGATCGTATAAAGGAACGTTACACGCAGGCAGTGAAACTACACAGACGGATCCAATAACACCACCTGCTTAATTTTCCTGGAATTACAGGCACAGTAATCGATTTCGAGAGATTTTCACTGGTGCTCCCTCTACACCACGTCATCCCTTACATTTTCACGTATAAACGGTCGATGTTGAAATGCAGAAGAGAACGATCGAAGTTAAATTCAGGTGGAACGATCACGTTACATTGGGTCCGGATGTCTCCCCCTCTTCAGGAACCGTCGCGACGTCACTGTTTCACAGGTTGTGTCACAGGTAACATGGAACTCGAGACAGAATGACAATACGTATCAAATTAAACAGGTGTTCCTCTCAGTAACTCTAAAGTTGACGTTTTACTACATACATGGAGAACAAATGTCTGGCACGTCATAACCAACCTACAGATAATGCAGAAGAGCCATCGAGGCACTTTGTCATTAACAACGTCTCCGTTAAACACATTATTTTGTAATCCGACGAACATACACCATCATAAGAGTCAACAGATTTTGTTCTTAGGTCGTTCCGGTAATAAATGTCTAAACAACAGCGTCGGGCTATGTCCGATGTTAACAAGCCATCTGTAGTATTTATTGCTACTTAGACTAACTAACTAACTAACTAACCAACTAGGTGGCTTACCGAACCCAAAGGTTCATCACCGAACTAACCAAAGCCCTCCACCGGACCCTGTCCTGGGCCAACAAAATCCAGACTCCTTCAACTCCTATCTCCCATAGATCCCGCCTGAGATTAGCCTCCCATCTACGTCTAGGTCTCCCCAGAGGTCTCTTCCCCTCAGGCTACCCGACCAATACCCGGTGCCCACCTCTTGTCCCATCCATGCGCGCTACATGCCCCACCCATCTCATTCTTCTCGACTTAATAACCCTGACAATACTGGGGGAGGAGTACAGATTTTTAAGCTCGTAATTATTGCTGCTTAGACTATGGACTATTATGAGTCAACAGAAGCCGATCTGCAACACCTCCGCCATTAGCCCCATTGCCACTCCTCAAGACCTTTGGAACCCGTTTTAGAGGTTAGCAATGCAGTGTCTGCAGAGGAACAAATCTCTTCTGAACTTCACTTGGCGCAGACAGACAGACAGACTTGGGGCTCGCCCAAGTATTAATGATAAAGGTCGCTGTAACTACCAGGTTTCAAAGTACATTTGACTTTAACGCCTTATTCCACAGATTTTGTACAAATGGTGCATGCTAACTACCGCTCAGTTACTGTATCGGGCGCGAATAAAGATACGAGTTAGTTCTGATGATCTGGAAGAACTGGTCCAGCGAAGGGCCTT